AAATTCTGCTCGGAATCGGCCAGCACCAGGCAGGTGCGCTCGTGCAGCTTCAACTGGGGTTGAATGTCCGCCATTTGCTTGCTGGCGTCGCTCTCGCGCTGCTTCAGTGCTCCAATTCTAGCGACGTGTGACTTGCGCTCACCCAGCAGCGTCTCGCATTGGGCGCGGAGCTGCTGCACCTCCTCCGTCAGCTCCTCCAGGGGCGTCAGCTCCGCGGCAGTCGCCGTGGATGATGGCTTCTCTGTGGCCAGAACCAATGATGGAATGACGGTATCCTCGCCAGCCAGAAGCCCGAGCATGCCCGAGTCGATCTGCCCGTGGCCCCAGCGCTCCAGATCGTTCTTGTGCAGCACCGTGGCAATGAGATCGTAGGAGCTGGACGCTGTCTGCTGGAAGAGATTGGGCGCCTGCTGGTCAAAGTACTGCTGCACCTCCTTGGTGCGCTCCTCCGCATTGGCCGACGGCACATTGAGATTCAATTTTGGTCGAAAATCAATGCAAAGGCTGCTGCATCCGTGGGATTTCCTGTTGCCCACCGCTCGACAGAACTGCGGCACCCACAGGGCCTTCAGCTCAGCCGTCAGCTTCTTGCGTATCTGACGCTGCAGCATTTCTCTGCCACTTAGCGAATGCGACTTCCCTGTCAGGTCATCCGCCGCCTGACGCTCCCGCGGCAGCTGCTCGATCAGGAACATGAGGAGACGCCGCAGCTCAATGGGATTGGGGTAGAGGAATGTCTGGTAGCCAATGTCACCGTGGTAGCCGCTCTCCTTGCAGCTCTCCGCCAGTGCAGTGGCCACGCTGAATCTCTGAGCCATCGCACCGCCCGGCAGACTGCGGGGAACCTCCAGCTCTGGGCGGATTTCCGTCAGGCAGCTGGAGACAGCTCGCACCACCAGTTCCGGCGTGAAGCTGGCCAGCTCCTCCGTGGGCTCTATGCCGGCGTCCACCTGGTGCAGCTGGTGCATGATTATCTTGTCTACTTCGTCCATGGCTCGGTTATTTGTTTGTTTTGTTATTTTGCCATTTTACGAGGAATTCTTCTTCTGCTTTTGGTCATTTATCGATAACAGGAGTGGTGTTAACCCACTAAACACCCCTCTAGAAAAGCTTGCAATAAGCCGCTGCAAATAATTATGTTTGGTGGTTCTTTTTGTCTTGCTCTCTTGCACAAACACCATTTACATGATTATTTTTCACCTGATCTGCGCTTGACTTATACAAGTGTCATCATTTTCATGCGTAAATTGACGGGAGAGGGGCTGATCGACAATGGGTTAATCGATCGCTGTTTATATTCGGTAATCATATTTTCCGATTCTGATATTCAGTTTAAGATTAAAAGCTAGTTAAGACTTTTAGCACTTGAGATATAATTTTTTCCGACAGATGAATTAATTCTCCACAAGATTTGACACTTTTGAGTACTCCTTTTTATTGAATTGTTTTTGAAATAAGCATTACCTCAGCACTGCCACAGTCACCGATTAAATTAATCGGTTTCTACCGCGCAACAGAAAAAACTCAAAGATCAAAGAACGACTGAATTTATTTTTGCATTGCAGAATGATAACTTAACTAACTAAAAAAACGCTCAACATTTTCTCACGTCGGGCACAATCTTGCACTCGGCAAAGGGATCGGAGGCCTTCTTCTCCTTCTGGGCGCACGGCGGACACTCGACACAGCAAATGTCGTCCTTGGGCGTTGCCTTGAGCAGCCCATCGATATTCTCGCCCTTTGCCTGCACCTTGGAGCCGGAATCCACGCGAGAGGGAACATTGTTGAGTTTGCCCTTCGATGTGGCATTATTCAGCGAGTAGGCTGGGGCATCGGGGGGATTGGGTCTGCCCCAGAAGTCGCGGGGCACATCCCAAATGATGAGCGAGCCATCGGTGCTGCCAGTCACGAACATCTTGAGGCACGGACTGTAGGCGGCGCTAATCACGGATGAGGCATGCTCGGAGCCCACGCCCACCACCTCGCCCTTGTTGTAGTCCCAAAGCTTCACCTGCAGATCACTGCCGACGCTGATGAAGTAGTCGCCGGTGTCGTTCATTGAGATGCAGTTGACGGAGGACTTCTTGGAGGCAGTCAGCTCGCGTATCATCGCTCCATTGTAGACCATCCAATAGATGATTCTACCATCGGCGCCACAGGTGAGCAGCTGCACCCCAGTGGGAAAGTAAGCGGCGCACATGAACTGTGTGTTGGCGGTGACAACCTGCTTGCGGGTCATGCGGCTGCAAAAGGACAGGCACACACATCAATGGAAGATATAGACCAGATAGACTCGACTTACTTGATGTCCCAGATGACGCAGGAGCCGTCGGTGCAGGCCGAGATGACCTCTGTGTCCAGATGATTAATGTCCAGCGATGTGATGGGACCCGAGTGATCCTTGAGCACGCCAATCAGCGATTGGCGATACGGGTCGATCTTCCACACGCGCACCTGTCCCTCAATGCCGCCGGTGACAATGAGGCGACCCGTGGAGGACACAGCCAGTGCGCTGCAGCCTGCAAAGAGTAATAGGGATTAGGTACTCCATGGAGCGGACATCGCCTTACCCTTGTTGTGTGCATTGGGAATGGCGTAGATCAGGCGCCCCGTGATGGGTGTAAAGGCGCGTATGATGCCATCGTTCCACACGGACACAATGCTGGTGCCATCGTGGGTGAAGCGCACAGCGGCGCAGTTGAAATTGTAGACCATAATGCGGAGCAGCTCCTGCTTGCGGCCCGACGACCAAATGCGAATGCACTCCTTGCCCGATGTGGCAAAAACCGCAGCATATGCCCTGGAAAAAGACATGGAATCAGCACAAGGAACCATTTGGTAGGCCACGCTCCAACTCACTTGGGGAATGTGATGCTGTAAACGGACTTTGTGTGGCATGTGCGCAACAGCTTTAGCTTCCAAGTGCTTATGGTCAATCCGTAGATCTCGTTGGTGTCTGTGCAAATGTAAAACAAATCGGAGGTGGAGCGTACAAACGAGGATATAAGCCCCGAGACGCGCGTCGTCTTCAGCACGCGCAGATACGGCCAAGTGGGACCGGGATAATCACGAAAATTGATGAGCGGCACATCGGTGCGCTCCTCCGCGAGCTCCACGTCGCCATTGCCAGCGCCAATGAGCAAACGGCCATCGTCCACGATGTACAGAGCCCGAACACCATTCACATAACGATTGCAGTCCCGGCCCGAGGGCTTGCGGGCATTGTGTGTGCCAAAGGCACCCAAGATGCCGCTGGTGGTGCCCGGTCGACTGACATTATCACGATCGCAGCAGTTGAGTGTGATCTTCACGATATCCCCCGTGCCGGTGCCCAGGTAGGCAATCTCGTCCTTCTTGTTGATGCGCGCGCAGTAGAAGACGCGCGTCTTGCTGGCCATGTGCACGTCCTGGACGTAGAGTTTCTTTTGATCCCGCAGAATGCTCCACAGACGCAGATGACGATCGCCGGCAGTCAAAAAGAAAAATGGATTATTGTGCATGGGCCGCACACCCAGAGCATTGCCCGAAATGGCACGCGAAGCAGGCTGCCGGCAAATGGGAGAGCTGCAAAGAGAAACATTTAAGGAACTGTGTCAGAGATTCCCCTCCGATGAACTTACAATGATGCCATGTCGTAGACAATCACGGAGCCATCATCCACGCCGCCAATGGACACCACAAAGCGATCCTCGGCTGTGAAGCATATGGCCTGCACCTTAACCTTGTGCAGATCGTGACGCGAAATCTCCTTGCGCTGATAATAGTCCCAAATGATGACATAGCCTCGGAATCCCATGTGATTTATCTGCCCCGAGGCAATGTATTTGCCGCTCTTGCTCACATCCAGGCACGATATGGTGTTGGTGTGGCCTGCAATGAACTCTTGCGAGTTCTTGTTGTGATCGGCAATGCCGATTTTGTTGCCCAGCGCGAATATAATGTCGCCCGTAGTCGGATGCTGGCGCACGCCATTCTCCACCTTGCCGTTAATACCGAAAATTGCACGCGGCTTTAGCTGCTGGCACTGCTCGGGTTGCTCCATAATGTATTACAAAATATATTTAGCAACTAATACTTTTAGTCTGGCTGTTGTTTGGCTATAAACAGCCTGTGACAGCCGGCTCAGGGATTGTTAATTTTTCAAAATATTCATTCAAATGGCAACCGTTGCCTGGAAGCCCACAAACAACAGCTGATGTGTGTAGTTGCCATCTACTAAAAGTGAACATTTTGTTGAGCTTTTTTGCTGAAACCTTAATTTATAAACTGTGCTATTAACAGAAGGCATTATATTTAACAAATCTTGTAGAAAATTGATTAATCAGTCACCTAAAATTATATATAAAGTACCGAGTGTGCTAACTATCTTTTAATATTCCACCGAATATCAAAAACGCGGAATGTAATTTACATCAGAACTTTTACGATATATGAGAAGGAGCTTTTCGGTATTTTTCTTCGGGTCAGTCATATTTTTTCGCCAACTAGTTAGTGTCTCCCGCCCAAAGCTCCAAGATGCATACCAAAACCGTTCCGCTACAGCGTGACCATATACGGTGTATTATATACTTTTGGGGATATTTTATCGACGAAAAAGACTTCAATGCATATATTTACGGTATATCGGCCTATAATAGGGTTTCCAAATGCATACCGGCTGCACAAAGTTGTCAAATTGCGTAAATCCCATGCCCACTTACGTAACGGTTTATGATATTTTTGTCGGTTGCCCTTTTTAGTTTTAAACTAAATTTATAAATATTCCACTAAGGATAGTCATGGAAACTAGACAATCTTGCGGAGAAATTAATACTGATTTGATTATAATTAAAGTTTTAGAGCTAAGAGTCTCATCTAGCTGGTAATATTGAGCGGAATATTTTGAAAAGTTACACGTTATATTTCGGTATTTGTTGGAGGGTCATGCGGTATATCCATTTTTAAGTATGCGGTCACACTGTTAGTTCCTCCCGCCCCCCCAATAATTTGATAATAATATTGTTTCATTTCCATTTCATCGCGCTACGCTTAAAGCTTCGAGATCCGAAATTCATACCGCAACCGACCCGCGACACCGGACGAAGTTTTGACGCGGGACCAAAAATATAAAAAAAATCACGGCAAAAATGAAGGTTTGCTGTATTGGGGCTGGCTATGTCGGCGGTCCGACATGTGCGGTAATGGCACTCAAGTGTCCCGACATTGTCATAACCCTTGTGGATAAAAGTTCGGAGCGCATTGCACAGTGGAATTCGGATAAATTGCCCATTTACGAGGTTAGTTTTGTGTGTGTGCATTTGTTGTGCACCGTGCCCGCTCCTCTTCTTCCTGTTTCTTGTATCTACATAGCGGATTCTTGTGTACATGCGTGTGTGTTTGTGTGTGTGTGTGTTGGTTTATTCATCGCGCCCCTTGTCTGGCCTTGTGGCTGAGCAGGGGAAGGGGAAGAGCAAATTTCTATGGCCCAATCCTAAACAAACAATTCATCAATCAGTGAACGCAACACGAGATCCAGCGAGAAGAAGAGACGGACGGACGTTGACCGCGCATACCGCTCATACCGCTCATGCTCAAGTGCCCTCCCAAAAACCAGTTCCTATTCCATACAAAACAATTCGTGTGCCTCCGCTCATCATCTCTCCATGGGAATGGGCATTGGCCAGTGCGTGTGTCTGGCATTGAGCATTGGACACACACTCCAACGAGCAGGTGCTTTGGCTTGCGGCCCCCAACAACAAGGTCAATGGTCAGCAAGTGTGCTCTCCACATTAGTCATTCATAAATGAGGGAAAAAAATGATTTGCCAAATGATTTGCAGCAGCAAACGAGCGTGGGAATCGATTTTACGCAGAACGAAAACTTGCTGCTGCTGGCCAGTAAATTTCTCCCTCCCCTGAAGCCATAACGCTGTAAGCTGCTCAACGCATTTAAATTCCTTGGGTTGTCCCAAATAGTCAGTCGCTCTAATTTAGTGTCGCATTTCCGCCCCGTCGGCTTCCGTCTGCCCCCATTTGCGCAAAGAGCTCTTAACTTCTTATCTCGACCAAAGTAAAGCAAAAGCCTACGCTGGCTTGCCCAGAGAGTGGCGGCCAGAGATAAGCGCGAATAGAGTGGGGAACTGGTGCTGCTGCTATCTGCTTCAGTGGAAATATAAAATAAATTAGTTGAGGAATTGTCAAATTGCGAGTACCCCAACGTGCATCAACGTTATCACGGATCTCAAGAGCGGAGGGGGAAAACAAAATAAAAATATAACAAGCAATGAGTAAAGGTCCGTCAAGGTCCGTTTAGAGCACACAATTTTGTATTTACTTTTTGTATTGCTATTCACTTAACGTGGAATTGCATCATCAATGCTGCAACGTCATCAACACCTCAAATGCTGGCAAATGCAGCGACATTGACATCCTCCTTTGAATATTTTTGTATACATTCTTTTTTTTGCATTTGCACAATTGGTTTGTGCCCATTGTTGCATCTCTGCCACTTAGCCGGAACACATGTACTTTCTCGGTTTCCCCATTTTGCTAATTTTCCACAACATTGCAAAAAAAGCAAAACAAAAGACAAACAAAAAGCAAGCGCAAAACTTATCAGTAGAGCCAACGAGACTAATGACTTTTTGATAAGAGAAATTTCTACATTTCCTTACACAGCGCCAGAGCCACTGTGGAGCAAAATAATTTGAGAAATTTCTAAATACAAATTAACTGCTGCTTCTGCCCGCAGCGATCTGTATTCGAGTTCAATGAACATTCCGGAACGGGAACTCAATATGGAAACAAATCTGGTTTTCAAATGCTTTGCTGAATGAAAGCGAATTGCATAAGTTGTGAGATCTCTCATTGGGGAAAGAAATGAAACGCTGAAAATGCCGTTTGAGCACGTAAAAAGCCAGAGAGAACTTACGTTAAGATATGACAGGGGTGTTGGGTTTCCCAGTAAAACTCACATAATTGGATAAGGTAACTCCCACGTACACACAACAAACACACAAATCGAGTGTATAGAAAGCTGTTTAATCTTATCTACAGCCAAATGTGGAACGTCACCAAAGAGCCAGTGGGCAGGGAATCGTGACTGGGATTATAAGCCATGGAACAGAGAACTGGGGCAACCACAACATATGCTAAAAATTTCTCTTTTCATCTGTCCATCCACAGCCTGGCCTGGATGAGGTGGTAAAGAAATGCCGCAATGTGAATCTGTTCTTCTCCACGGACATTGAAACGGCCATCAAGGAGGCGGACCTCATATTCATATCGGTCAACACGCCCACAAAAACTTGCGGCAATGGCAAAGGTAAAGTATCCATCAAGAACTCAAACACTAACCACATTTAAGACTCCTCTTCTTTGTGCTCCCCACAGGACGTGCAGCGGATCTGAAGTATGTGGAAAGTGCAGCGAGAATGATTGCTGAAATCGCGCAATCCAACAAGATTGTGGTGGAGAAGAGCACGGTGCCAGTGCGCGCAGCGGAGAGCATTATGCACATACTCAGGGCCAACCAGAAGCCGGGCATTCATTACGATATCCTGTCCAATCCGGAGTTCCTGGCGGAGGGCACGGCCATCAATGATCTGCTGAATGCGGATCGTGTGCTGATCGGGGGAGAGGAGACAACCGAGGGCCATGAGGCGGTGGCCAAGCTGTCGTGGATCTACGAGCATTGGATACCCAAGCAGAACATTCTCACAACGAACACGTGGAGCAGCGAACTGTCCAAGCTGGCGGCGAATGCCTTTCTCGCGCAGCGCATCTCCAGCATCAACTCGCTGTCGGCGGTGTGCGAGGCCACCGGGGCAGACGTGTCGGAGGTGGCTCGTGCTGTGGGCCTGGACTCGCGCATTGGCTCGAAGTTCCTGCAGGCGTCGGTGGGCTTTGGCGGCAGCTGCTTCCAGAAGGACATTCTGAATTTGATTTACATTTGCGAGAATCTGAATCTGCCGGAGGTGGCGGCCTACTGGCAGCAGGTGATCGACATGAATGACTACCAGAAGCGTCGCTTCTCGCAGAAGATCATCGAGAGTCTGTTCAACACGGTGTCGGACAAGCGGATTGCCATCCTGGGCTTTGCCTTCAAGAAGAACACGGGCGACACACGCGAAACGGCGGCCATAACCGTCTGCCAGACGCTGCTCGAGGAGGGCGCCAAGCTGGACATTTACGACCCCAAGGTGGAGCCCGAGCAGATCATCGATGACCTAACGCATCCCAGCGTCACGGAGTCGCCCGAGAACGTGAAGAAAGCGGTGCAAATCCACAGCGATCCGTACAGCGCTGTGCGTGCCACGCACGCCCTCGTCATCTGCACGGAGTGGGATGAGTTTGTGGACTTGGATTTCCAGCGCATCTATCAGTCGATGATGAAGCCGGCTTACATCTTTGACGGACGCAAGATCCTCGATCACGAGCGACTGCATCAGATCGGTTTCCATGTGCAGACCATTGGCAAAAAGTATCAGCGGTCGGGCCTGCTACGCTCCTGGGGCATTGTGCCGCAGCTGTAGGCACGAGGCAAGAGGCAGGAGGCATTTACACTTAAAGTTTCCAGTATTTACGCGACTAATTTGTAAATATCCCTTAAACCCCTAACCATATCCATATTTGTATCTAGACTCCCTTTGTGTTTGTTCGTTTTTTATGTAGTTACAAGTATTCCGCCCAAAAGGGTAGCTGGTAGGTGCTCCTTTAGGCACTCTCCTTTGAACCGTATTTGTATTCCTATTAGCCAGCCCCCCACTGCGAGGTTCGCCAGTTGCAATATTAAACTCCTACAAGCATAAGCACATTATCTGTATATGGCTCATTAAAAACGCAAAGCATTTACACGAGAGCATGTAAATTTTATACAAATAATAACAACAAAAGGCTCCTTTGTTCGTTCCCTCTTAGAAGGCCAAACGCTTGACAATCTGGCGGTACCACAGGAAGGAGGTGGCTGCGGACAGGCTGAACCAGGTGACCAAATACGACATGTGATCGTTGCGCAGTGTCACACGTGTCTGCCCGCCAATGGGTCCGCCACTCATCGCCTGCGGATCGTAGACGGCATCCAGGAAAACGTGTGCAGCGCCGCTGGACTCGCACATGCGTGGCAGGTCCCGATACAGATACATATTGGCGCTCTTGTGGTCGGGCGTGAACTGTGGACGCGCCTCACCCTGACGCACCACAGCCGTGAGCTCCACTTCTGTTTGGGGTTGGGCCAGAGCGCGCGTTTCCGGATCCACATGCTTGCGGGACACCCAGCCGCGATTGATTAGGACAATGTCGCTGCAAAGAGGGTCCACAAATGAGGCTGAGGATACATGGAAGCTGTCGCCACTTACTCTCTGTTCGACAGCTGAAAGGGTGTCACTATCAAGTAACCGTTGCCAGCATCACGCTGTGAGAAGAGACCGCCCTGTGTCTCCCCACCATCGGGACGTATGAGCGAACGCGGACCCATGCGCATCTCCTTGTCGTGCAGGAAGCGTCCGCGCACCTTCACCAGGCGATATTCCATGTGTGACAAGTCAGCGAGACTGCAAAGAATGCAATTTAGATGATTTTACACATGGAATATGTGTGGGGAGTATACTTTTCGGGCAGTTCTACTGCTGCCATGTTTAGCTGCTCGTGCAGATCCTTTATTAGCTGCTCCTTCCAGATTTTGCGCTTCACCTGCCAGCAGCCCAGGCCAAATGTGGTGGCGGGTATGAGCTGGGATATAGAAAATAGCTATTGTATTATTATTCAAAGTCTGAAATGATCAACCCACCAGCAGAAACCAGCCAAGAGCTGTTATCTTTTCCTTTTCCTTGGGCTCTGTGCGAATGCTTGTGGTCCAGTCTGCCGGCGCTCGCTGTTGTGTCATCTTTCTGGTGACCGTCTGTAGTGCATTTCTGCTGCTGGGCAGCCGCGACAATGCCCAGACACCTTGCCGGCACATTTGTGTACTTAAACGCAGCATATTACGCTTATATTCTTTGAATTAATATTTATTTACAACAAATTGCAGCACTCAGCTTATAACTAGCGAGTTGGCAGCACCATGCGAACAACTGTTTGGTGGCTGATTGCCAGACAGTTGGCAGCACCATTCGAACAGCTGTCTTGTGGCTGCTGCGGCGTGCCATTCATATTTTTGTATAAACGAATTTGTTTTAATAAATTTAAGATAATTTTAACTATGCAGTGCACACGGGCAGTGGCAAGGTTGGCCACCGGCATATCCAGAATCCACTTGGTAAGGAAAGGCCGGTGTAGTGGCCTTATTTATTCACAAAACATTATATTTTGAGTGCACTGCCATGCAAGTCTTATATAAACTCACGACAGGTAATAAGTTGCGCTTCTTGTTATTACGCAGGTTGCTCAGCAGACTGCAGCTCTTTCGCTCGTGTATGCGCAGCCCTGTCGCCTGTGCTCATCCGCGCGAGTCGTGGACAGTGCCGGGGACAAAGCAAAGCCAGCGACGACACCGGAGACACCAGCAGACGATGGAATTCTGAAGCGAGTGCTGAACAAAGTGGGCTTCACACCCAACACAAAGGCGGTAGGTGGACCCGCCTCACTTGTAGACCCATAATAACGTTTCCCTTTGTTCCCCTGACAGCGTCTCAAGGTCACCAGCCATCTGCTGTACGAGAGCGTGGCGGATAAGATCAATTATGTGGCATTTTTTCGTGACTTCAGTCTGCCCAACACGTTCAACTCGTGGTTCCTGGTCACAGAGCTGCACGTCTGGCTGCTGCTGATGCGCTCCATGGCCGAGGGCTCGGAAACAGGCGAGGATGGACGCTTTCTGCGCAACTGCATCGTGGAGGCCATGTGGGGCGATGTCAACACCCGTGCCAAGAAGTTAGGGGTGAGTGGCAGCACGCTCCAAAGCTACTTGAAACCCTGCTTATTGTTCTCCCTTGCAGGCACACAATCCCTCACGCACAAGGCAACAGATTGAGACGCTGTCGGAGCAATTTCAAGCCGCGCTCATTGCCTACGACGAGGGCATCATGTCCGACGATCGCGTGCTGGCCGGCGCATTGTGGCGACGCTTCTTCGAGATGAACTGCGACGACTATGCGCACATCGAGCGACTCGTTAAATACGTGCGCCAGCAGGCCGTCATGCTGGACAGTCTGCCCCGCGATCAGTTCATCACAAAGCCCAAGGTGGCCTGGCTGGACCTCGACAAGTGCAAGGTGTAATTTAAGTGTTTCTTCTGTTATATTTTTGCTTATAAACTAAATAACCAAATCATCCACGGACTGATTGTGCAACGCGCGCAGCTGACACTTGAGCAGGAAGGCCATGATCCGGCGCTCGGCTCGCTGTCGCTGCGGCTCCTTCAGCTGCTCGAGGATTTCGTCCATTTTGAGGAAATAAACGCTGCCCGTTTCCGTGCTGCTGTTCTGTGTCTTCGGCTCCTCTACATCCTCGTAGATGATCTCCTCGTGCATAATCTCATCGCTGCCCTCCACTTCCTCGATAATCTCCTCGATGATGAATGCATTTTCCAGCTCTATGCCGCTGCCATCGTTGTACTCCTCCCACGCCACGGTGGGTGCCTCAGTCGCTTCGCCTGGCGCTGGTGTGGTCGCTGCAGTCTTCACTCTGCTCTTTGCGCCACTCGGTCGAATGTTGGCCAGAAAGCGCAGCCGTTCGAGGTACGGCCAGCTGGAGCCCGTGGTGTCCGCCCGACGGAATTCCTTGCGAAACTGATAGTGCAGATTGTTCCAGCGCATCAGGCAAAAGTCAACTGTGGATTGGAATTGCCTTAAATGCGGTTTGTAAGCGAGAAATCTTTGCATTTACCTTCGCAGCCCATGACCTTTGCTATTTGGGTCCAAATATCCGTTTTGGTCTTCATGGCATCGTAGGTTGAGAGACCCGTGCGCCTGTAGAGCACCGGATGGGGCTCAACGAGATCAATTAGCTTAAAGTCAAATGGACGATTTCTCTTATAGCTGGTCCGCATTATAAACATAAATTTGTGCAATAAGGAAGGTTAGTTTTTGTTGTTTACATTTCCTGCGGCCCGAGAGAGATTGTTGCTGCTGTTTTAGTTGCTGGAGCACTGGAAAATTAGTTGCATACGATAAATTAATCAATTTTCTACATAATTGGCTTATTTTGAGGCACTCACAGCTATTGAAATATCTTTTAAACTATGTTTAAGCAAAATGGTTTTAAAGATGACCCCACAAGGTGCGTTAGAACAACAAGGTGAGCCGATAAGAACAGCTGTCGAAACATCGCAATGTGCTCATATATGAAACGCACAATGAGTCGTGAGATTGAAAGCTTAATTCAAATAACAAAAAGTAAAATATAATTGATAGGGTATTTAGGAGTAATTATAATAAAAATAAGTGATTCTTCAATAGGATAAAATATTTTTTTCAGTGTTAAAAGTCTTTGCAAGATAGTAATATGCAATAGAACATCAAAATCGAGTAAAATGATCTAGCATTCATTATATTTACGATATATTTATAAAATTAGAAGGTATATTTTGATATCTGTTTGCGGGTTGTCAGGTATATTTGATCAAGAGCTCCTACGGTCACACTTACGCCGCGAACCACCACGAAACAACGGGGCCGTGCCGAATTTTTTTCTGAATTCAGAAAAGTCCGTTGAATATCCCGAAAAATATCCATATTGATATAGCAAAATAGTATATCAAAAGTAAATGCATATATCGTGAAACAACGTAAACCGCGTGCGTCGTACCGTCGAGTTTTTAATTTAAATAGTGTCCGGGGCGCGATATTTAAATGAAAAAGGATTTGAGTGTGCGAAAAAATAGTTAAATATCGCAACAAGGTAATGGAAATTTGTCTTTAATAGTTCACCCTACCCCCAAATAAAGTGCAAAGAGTAATACAAAAAGTGCCGGAAAAATGATGTACAAAAATATGTAATAAGAGGAATGAAGGAGAACGCATTTAAAGTGCGAGACGCCGACGCTTACATTCTCATCTTTTGCATATGCGTCTGAGTGTGTGTGTGTTTGTGGGTGTGTAGAGTGTGTGTGATAGTGGGAATAGCAAAATCCTGGACGCCACTCCTTTTGCGCAAAGAAATTTAATAAAAAAAGAAAAGAGGAGAAAAAGGTGGCTTGCGGCTGCTGTATAATAGAGCGAGAGAGCGAACTAAAACGAAGCTGCGCCGGAGTCGAAAGAACAGAACACATAGAGTGATACGCAAAAAAACACATACAAACAAAAACAAAAAGCAGGAAGAGGAACGATGAAGGAGGAGAAGTGTAGAGTGGTTAATGTGAATGTGACAGGGGGAGAGGTGCCACACCAATCTTATTGTTGATTTTTAAGCAGAAATATGATAAAAATAAATTGCAAGCAAAAGCCGACGACGCCGCCGCCGACCTGGCACTCGGGTAGCGGCATTTTTGTGCACCGTAGCAGCTGAGGTGTGCAAGGGGGTGGCGTATGTACATATACATATGCATGTTTATGTGTGAGTGTGCGTGTTGTCTGTCCCTGTACTCCGCAATGCGCAGAAGCAAAGCTGTAAAACACCGAAATTCTAATTTGCAATATTTCACTTCTTAAACCAAAAAAAGGCTAACCACCAGCTGGCCAAAAGACCGAAACACCTGGCAAACCTGACCACAAGCACATTTAACAGTTAAACGGCTCTCCATCTGGCATTGGCTCCTTTTTATGGCTTTTAATAACTCGCAAAAACGAAAACGGGTTTCGGTGCAAGTCTTTTGGAGGCCCTTGTGAGCGTGTGCGAGTGTGTGTGTAGGTGCAAGTGAGCAGGAAATACCATGGCAAAAAACCGTTGCTGATCGGTAAACTGCAGTAAAAGAGAACGTGTTGGCACAAGGTGAATGAAATTCGGGTGAGGTAGTCCCGATTTTTTTATTTTGACACTCTCCAGATGGTTTTCTGCACCCCAAAATATTATTCTTCTGCAAGGCAAATATAATCTTGTTGCACCGTATACCACTATACCTTGGGCGAGCACAGAACTGTGCAAAAAGAAATCAAGCAAAACAAAAGGCAAATGACTTTTAGTTTTCTTTGCTGTTGTCTTAGGTTCTGTATGTTCGAGTGGGTTCGTTCTCTGTGATAAGTCGCCTATCGTTGATGTCGTTGTTGTTGCTATTGTCCGTCTGGGTTCTCATTTATCGTTACTTTTTATCCGTAATTGTTTTGCAATGGCCGCCATTTATGCAAATATGCAAAAATCTCTCCCCACCCCTTGCATCATATGATTCCATTTGCGCTATTTCCTCAATAAAAAAAATATTGCTGGCAACTCTGTTTTCATTGCTGCGGAGGCCACACAACAACACAATTGTTCTTGTTATTTTGCTGTTCTTGTATTGCTGCCTTCGTCTCCTTCTTTTGTTGCTTCTCTTGGATAACATTTCACCCGTGCCCCCCTCACTCTCTCTGGTGTGTGGGACGCGTCGCGTGCGCTTGAGCTTCTTCTCATTTGTTTATTTTTAGTTGCGGAATTTCTGGTTACAAAAGCGGTATATTATTTCAATGGTTTACTCTGCTGCTTCCCTTACTCCCCCTCCACCTTTTGTTCCACCCTCTTTCAATGACTTTACTCTGTTTTTGTTCTGCTGCTGCTACTGCTCCTTGTTTGTGCTCACCTCCCTCTCAATCTGCTGCTGCCTTCCTTCTTTGTCTTGCTGAAACAGTTGCATTTGCGCTACAAGTCAGTGAGTGAGGATGAGCGATTTAGGGAGTGGGGATGAGTGCAAGTGCAACTGATCCAAGAAAGGAAGCCAGATGAAGGGGATTAGGGGGTAGAGAGCAGGGGCGACTGGCAGTCAAATGGAGAATATTAGTTTTCTCAAGGGGAGATCGATAATAACGCGTGAGCAACATGAAGAGTTTAATACTCATTTCTTGCAACTCATAAGGAGCACACGGAATGACTTTTTTCCATATGGATGATGACTTTTAAAATGCTGCAATATGGAGGGGGGAGTAATTCTCTTTCCTTATTTTATGACTTCGTTTCCTCTGTTTATTTATAGTTTATGCCCTTAAATCTTGGAATTTTAAGATGCCTGCACACAATAATCCCATCGAATCGTCAATTTGTTGCCGACTTTAAAACTCGTAAAATCCACTCAAAATTTGTTCCACGTTTCATTCAACCATAAAACTTTTGCCCACGCTCGCTTCATTTACATAACATTAATTAGTCAAATGTGCACACACACACACTCACAAATTATTCAGCAAATTATTCTTAATTAATGAAAACACATAAAATCGAATCCTATTCGGTTGACAGATTGAACATTTAAATGCGTTAATTTTCGAACCAAAACTCAGCTTTATATGCTAATAGCTTTTATGCCAATTTTTAAGCGCTGCGCCTTGAATTTATTGTTTCACATTTTTCGCATTGTTTATGGAAAAGCTTTTGCAATGCAGGCGGCGACAGCTAACAACAAATGTTCGCAATTCGTAAATAGTTGTTTAGGTCACAGATCCGCTCGGCTTGGCTCAGGTCTCTGCTCCGGTCCTCTATTTCAAACGAAATCGAGATTGCAGATCTCTCGCCAAAGCTCTTGTTTTTGTGTTGTACCCTGTTCGGGATTACCATGCATGAGATGTTGTTTAGGGGAAGGATGTAACAAGTAGTGGAATCTATGAATTTATGATAGAAGAATTCACTTGCATTCCAGTGGGATGCGATTGACCATCAAGAAAAAGCAATACGATTATTTATTCTTATTTAAAAAAATGATTTTCATTCACATCAGTTTACATTCTTTAGCATCAATGGGTATCCAATAGTTGGCAGTGCATTTTTTATGGCATTCTAAATTGTTTTGTCTCCGTTTTCGGTGGCCCACGCGCAGCTGTTGAAATCAAGTTTAGGCAATGATCGGATATCTACCTACCCTCTCCCCACCCTCTCTCTCTCTTCATTATCCACTGTTACGTCACTTGATTTGGCGCAAGTTTAGCACACGACTTGCCTCGCTCTTTCGGTCTCTCTCTCTCTCTCTCTCTCTGGGGTTGCACGCCTCTGATCTTGGGATTTAGCCGGACTGGAATTTTCGCTTGGCTTTTCAATGGAAACCCATAAACTGGAAACCATCGTAATGGCAATAGGCTATAATAACGTTGCCGTTTGGGTCTTGGGTCTCCCCTCCCCACTTACACATGTGCGCAAAATGTCGCTCTTATTTATTCATCTGTTATCTCTTTTCTGCTGGTGCTGCTGCTGCTTCTGTTGTGGAGATTCTCCAT